GTATGTTGAGCATTAGAAATCCAGTCCCAATCTCTAGTCATTTTCTTAGCAATAATATGCATTTTACTGCTAGGGATTTTAGTTTCCAGGAGTGCAATGAAGGAAAGTTTATATTCATGAACTATTTGCTTCACTATTATTTGTTTAGAGGATTTGTTCAATCCTCTAACATTCCAGATAACTAAATGCATATTTATTGAAGTTTTCCCCTATCAACATTTGAAGGGTCAAACAAATGATCCTGATGATCTAACAGAGAGAATTGTGAAACATGTATCTGTGCAGAGCTGTCTCCAGTATCCGTTTTTGATCTTCTGGCAATGCTATTTCTGCTTACACTGGTGAAACCACTGGCATTGATAGTGGGTGATATATTTGATTGAACAAGGCCAAGTATGCCAGGACTTCCACAACCAGCAACTGATCTTTGTTGAACAGATATCCCATTTTCAGGCCTGGTAAGACTTTCTGTATGTTCAGCCAGAGCTTTTCCTTTATCTGAATTTGATGCAACATCTTTCTGTGCATGTATTTCATGTTCAACTTGCACATGTTTATCTGTGTCAGGCATATTCTGATTTTTTTGTGCATGTATGCTCCCTGTTGATTTTTGAATCCAGATTTTCTTAACAACATTTCTTCTGCAGTGTTCAGTATCATGTCCCACCATCTTACAGTTTGCACACCACCTTGGCTTCAGCTCATAGACCACTTTTTGTGTATAACTTTTTCCATCAGGCCTATTTATAACAATCTGGTTTGGCAGTGGCTCTTTTAGAGGCAAATCAACTTCTAATAAGGCTCTAGCATAGGATAATCTCTGTCTCAATGCAGTAAGCTTATCCGTAGTGATGGGATTGCCAATAATACTAGCAATCTTACTAATACCTGAGGAACTCCACAAATTTAGTTTTAAATTTGGGAATTGAACCCACATTGGGTAGCTACAATCTTGAATCTTATCAATGTCAGTGTCAATCTTCCATGGCTTCAAAATCAAAGGTCTGGCACCAAAAAACCAAGGCCCAGCTTCTAATACCTCATTCATAAATTCAAAGAGAAAGACACCTTGTTTGATTAAGAAAACTTTTGGAATAGAAATTTTCCCCCAAGTCTTGTTGACATATGATTCCATGGATTTAAATTTAACATTTAATCCAATAACATGTCCTATTAGAGCAAACTTCCAAAATTCCTCTCCTTCTTTCCATTCTTCCTCAGTAAAAGAAACATCATTATTTTGTAAAGGTGAAACAAATTGCAGCGACAATCCATTCCCATGCTTTCTATTTTCAGAAAAGAGGCTAGCAAAAGATCTTAGATCTTCAGATCTAGATTCAGATCTGGAATTTTTTCCTTGTTCAATAGCATCAGAATCCTTTCCATTATCTCCCTCAATAGCTATATTGTTATCAACATTATTTCCATTTATCATTTGCCGAGTGTTTACTTCCAAATTATGCTCAGTAATCACATTCAAATCTGAGTCAACTTGATCAGACCATAAAGCAGAGATAGGAGTTTTACCTAAGCGACGAGAGATCATCACACCAGATCTCATTTCAGGGGACTGAGAAAATATTGTTGTGGGAGTCATAGTCATCTCATAAAAAAGAGGTCCTTCGCTAGAAGAAATTGGAAAATGGAACCCTACAAGGCAAATTCGGCTAGAATAGGAAACTGCAATTTTCCTCTGTCCACTTTTTTATCAAGTCAAGCCACTGCAGGAATTGTTCTTTCTTCATTTGAAAATCAATCTGAAACTAATGACTGGCTTTTATATCTGGGAAAAAAAAATAGCTTGGACTTGGATAAGAGACTGTTATATCGAGTTCAAATTGTTATCGAAACATACTTTGTCCAAATTAAATCCTTTATTCGTTATGAGTCGTATGAATTTAAGTTACTACATTCCAATTAAACATGTGATACTTGCACAAGTCAAAATGATTAGGCAGACATAAACTCCTAATAACTAAAATATTATCCAACAAGCTTCTTCGGACATGAGAACCAAAGAAGTTCAGGGCCAAAAAAAAAAAAAAAAGGAAATAATCATTAAGCTAATAAACTCGATCAAAATGTTATCTGAAAGGGATCCTTCCCCTTTTTTTCTTGACTACTGGGGCTCTCACCACCTTCCTTTCAACCGAAGTAGCCATTACATTATTTCATCCCACCGCCTTCTCTTTACATCAGCTTATATTGAGCATAATTTTCTCTCTGACTGCCCGTCTGTCTTTCTTCGTACATTTCAAAGGAACCCAAGACATCCTTGATTTCTCCTCCTCCTCCGCCGTCTGCCACTTGTCACTGTCTCTGGATGCCACGTCAGCCACCTCCGTTCCCCTCGTTACCCTTGCCCTACTCTCCTCCTCCGGCCTTTCGCCACCCCCACCAACGAAAGAAATTCAAAGAACTGGCCTCGTCACCCCAAATGCATGATCCAATCCATAGTCCCAACTTAAGATAAATGCACTTGCATTTATCATGAGTGTGGGGATGCAAGAATTCCTATGGATATTAGAAATTTCTGGTTTAGGTATGGGTGGTATGAGACAGTAATCAACGGCTTTTTTTTTTGTGTGTGTGTTGGGATTTTTTATGATGAGTAAAATGATCCTCACGGCTCAATGAAACAATTTGCTTAACCCTTCCTTCCCATTTTATAGATATACCATTCACATCATCTTCATAAATGCGAAGGTTCGAGAAAATTGGCGAAATCATTGTACTTATTTCGCGTATTTATTTAGAAGTTTCTGGAGCACTTACACTTCTGTCCGTATACAGGTCCTTGGAAAGTCCATTTTATGATGTTCTTTGGTAAGGTTATGTATTAAAGAGACAGTTAGCGAATGCAATAACAAGTTTATGCTTGTTGGTTACTTTGATATGGCAAATAAATTCTTTCGACCAAGGCGTATAGAGAAACAAGAGAACAAATCTTAATGTAATTTAGTATGAGCAAGAGCATGGATGTCATTGTTTTGACAGTCTAGTTTTAGTTGTCCTTTTTGTCACTCAAGTCATTTCTTGCAACTTAAATCCTAATCAATTGTTTGCCGAATTATTAATTAATCATACAAGAAGTTTCATGTCTATGCACAGGATTGCAGTGAGTTGGTGCTTATGCATTTGTCCATGTGTTACTATGGTTTCTTCCTAATTCTAGAAATTGAAATGTACAAAATATAGGAAGGGCTAGCTAACTGGAAATTAGTGGTTAAGATTTGGAAGCAAAAAACAAATTAACAGTTATAGATGGCATTTTGTTTCTCTCTAAGTCTCAAAATTATAAGATTACATACATACATGATTTAGATAGACTCCTACCTATAACATGATTTGGATAAGTTTATAAAATTTCATAAATTATTTCTCCACAATCCATTCCCACAAACCTTATGGCCTGATCCATTGATATTAAACAGATTATAGCTGGAGTCTGAATGAAATGTTATATTGATGAAAAATATGCTTACAAGTTTCAGACTGAGGTTGGTCCAGGAAACAGCCACGCGATTATTGGCAAGAAGTTTAAGTCTGCCTATGGAGTTTTCTTTTTAGTAACGACTTTTTTTTTACAGGGAATTGATATGGATGATCAATGGAGCACAATAATGATTGCCAGTACTGGTAGGGATAATAAGAGCCAGACATGAGTACTTAGTTGTAAATTGTCCTCTTAAATAGTATTATGAGGGTTTGATGAAAGCTTTATAATTGTTGTTGAACTTTCGTATATACTGTCTAGAATGAGTTACTAGCTAGTGACGTGTACTCATGTAGCAGTTGTGACCACATACGATATGCTTGCTTGTTGATTCCTTCAGGTCTTGTGCATGTTCTCATTATGATTGAAAAGGTCGAAAGGTGCATAATACACATTACTGTTTGTTTGGCAGCGTTCACATTAAAACCTTAAGCTTTAACAAAAGAAATAGAAAGAAGAGAAGTATTATTGTGGGAATCATGGTCTTGTCATCAAATTAAAAGGGGTTATATGTTTCTCGTAACTTTTGACTTTAGTGATTGGTGGGATGCTAAGAAACAATTGGCAAATGAAATTCATGAGGCAAATTTGACTAGAAAAGGAACCGACATTTCCTTTCTATTTTATAGTAAGAAGCCACATAGGCTGCAGGAGTACATTAAAATATCAATCTTTAATTATCAATTTACAATTAGATGCGCATTTGAAAAATCAATCCTTTTCAATCTACTGTTATTCATGGCTGAGGTTTCTGTGCACAATTTATGTGTTGACATGCAGACTTAAACTTCGGGGATAATGCTTTGTTTGTATAAGAGAGAATGCTTTAAGTTTCTCGTCAAAATAAATTAAGTTTAAAAATTCAATCATGAAAAAGAATTTGGACTGATTGACGAGTGCGCCTTAACTGCTCAATAACAGTTTACTATAGCAAGTACTCACTAGTGGAAAATCATGTATCGCTGACGGGCATTCCCGTCAGCGATGCCCAAATTCCCGTCGGAAAAACGTATCCTTGACGGCGTCCTGTCAAGG